CTGGCCTGGAGGGAAGAGGTAGGATTGAGCCCATGTTCATGGCTGCTTTCATTCCCTGAGGCAGGAGATCCAGGAGGAGGACCAGATGGATGGACCTAGTTTGGACATGTTCGTGGTGGAGCTGGGAGTTGCCAGTGTTAAGGAGCTCAGAAAGCCAGGCGAATAGATGGGCTGACCAGAAATGGAGAGTGAAGGGAGGACCCAGGTCAAGGGCTCTCCTTGATGCCTTTCAAAAATCAGAGAATGGGGTGTTTGACCTGGTCTGCTTGTAATAAATGTATTGGAGCAAAGGGATGAACAGACTTGCCTTTTAGCGTCAGGCACGACACCTCTCAGCAAGTTTCTTTTCTACAGCCAGCTGCCTCGAACCCAGCCAGATGGCACCAGTATCCCTGGAGAGCCAGCCTCCCCCATCTCCCAGCGCCTGCCCCCCAAGGTAGAATCCCTTGAGAGTCTCTACTTCACCCCCATCCCTGCTCGCGGTCAGGCCCCACTGGAGAGCAGCTTGGACTCCCTGGGGGACGTCTTCCTGGATTCAGGCCGGAAGACTCGCTCTGCTCGTCGGCGTACCACGCAGATCATCAACATCACCATGACCAAGGTCAGGCTGCTGGGAGTGGGCTTGTAGGACAGTCATGCTCACTTGCTCTTAAGGGAATCTTTCCCATCGGGTGCCTCCGGAGGCTGACTAGTCCATGTCTTCCAAAGAAGCACCATGACTTGGCAAGGCCTCTGTTGTAGAAAGTAGCAGGGCTGGAATTGGATGCCTACTGGCTCTAAGGTGGTTTCTTTTCATGTGTAGTACTGACCCATGCAGACCAGCCAGACAGGAGAAGATGAAGTTGCAGCCCAGCCCTGTGCCTGCAGGGTACCTTCTGGGTGGCTGAGATGCCTTGAGGCCACCCAGAGAGCGGCCGACTAAGTTGGGGGCTCTGACTGGCCCTTGTTTCCATACCCTGAGGAGGATGGGGAATGGGAAGGCTCCTTTGGTGCAACAGACGGCACCTCTTGTGTGCTACCAAGAAGCTGGAGAAGTTCTAAAAGATGGGCAAGGCACTGGCAAGCTTGGGCTGAGCCTGACTATGACTAGCTCAGGAGACCACCATTCCAGCCCCTGGCTCTCCCACCCTCTAGCTGTTACCTGGGGGCTGGTCACTTTCTTTTTTTGCATCTTGATTCTAAAATGGTCTGGTCACCCACTTTGCTTTCCCAAAGTACTGTTAACAGAGTGAAATGAAAATGGGATAGCCTCGGCATTCTTAGCAACGGGGCTCATTCTTTGTAGAAGTACATCTAAGGATCCCTGCAAAGCAGTGGGAACACCTGCTGCTGTGGGATGTGAGGCCCTATTTAGGAAGGTGAACAGGAGGCATCTTTGTAGACTGTCAGGGCCCCACCCCACCAGATCCATCCTTTCTTCCAGAAGCTAGACGTGGAAGAGCCGGACAGCGCCAATTCATCCTTCTACAGCACACAGTCGGCCCCTGCTTCCCAGGCCGGCCCACGAGCCACATCTTCTACCCAGTCTCTAGCCCGCCTGGGCTCTCCTGATGATGGCAACTCGGCTCTGCTCAGCCTGCCTGGCTACCGGCCCACCACTCGCAGTTCTGCTCGCCGTTCCCAGGCTGGGGTATCCAGTGGGGCCCCTCCAGGTGAGGGGACCATAAGGGCTTAACACAAAGAAAACCCAAGGCTGGCACCTTACCCGCCCCGCCTCCCTACAGCCTCAGGAGTGGTCCGAGCAATCAGGCTGATGTTAATCTCAGCCAGGGTGAATTGGAAATGGTCACACAAGGGAGCCTGGGACTCCCAGCAGAACAGTGAGGCTCAGCTGCTGCCTGGAGTCCTCTGTTACCCTGTCTTAGGTGGTGGTAAGGGGTGCCAAAAAGGCCGTGCTGGGTCAGTGTTCTGTCCTTAGATTCTTAAAGGCTCTTGGCCTCAGGGACCTCTGGTTATCAGTTCCTGGTCCTCAGTTAGTTTCCTTAGGGTGTCGGCCTCTGCATAGGATTTCTTTTGACCTCCCCAGGGAGAGTGCACTGAGCAGAGCAGGACTCGGGGGCACTGGGCTTTGAAGTCCACAGGAGTGGTGGCTGCAAAGGTTGCTAAGAGGCCAGGACCAGTGGGCAACCTGCTGCCTCTACCCTCACTCTTCCTAGCCCCACCTGCTTCAGCTTCCCTGCCCTCCACAGGAAGGAACAGCTTCTACATGGGCACTTGCCAGGATGAGCCTGAGCAGCTGGACGACTGGAACCGCATTGCAGAGCTGCAGCAGCGCAATCGAGTATGCCCCCCACACCTGAAGACCTGCTATCCCCTGGAGTCCCGGGTGAGCTTGGGGGTCATCTGCACAGGACCTACGCTAGCTCCCCTCCTCCTCCCTTGGCACTCCACCCCAGTGCTACCTGCTGACCCAGCTCTGGTGGCCTGCTGCAGAGTGACCTTATGCTTCTAGTGGAATAGCTGGCAGAGTGGGGGTTCGGGATGAATTCACTGCGGGTGGACCTGAGTTTGTGGAGGAGGTCTGCATGGGACTGCTCTGGCTATCGTGCAGGGCCTAAGTGGAGAAGACAACAGGAAGGGAGACCTTCCACAACAGGAAGGCTTTTAGCTGCTGTACACACCAGGCCTGTGAAGAGTTCTGGGGTGGTCCTGCTACATTGACCCCCTCCTTCCATCCCACACAGCCTTCCCTGAGCCTGGCTACCATCACAGATGAGGAGATGAAAACTGGTGACCCCCAGGAGACCCTGCGCCGAGCCAGCATGCAGCCAGCCCAGATAGCCGAGGGTGCGGGCATCACCACCCGGCAGCAGCGCAAACGGGTCTCCTCGGAGCCCCACCAGGGCCCTGGTACCCCTGAGGTGGGTGACCCTGACTCCGGTTTTATTCCATCTAGCAGGCTTATCTCTTCAAGAACTTGATGCAGGGATAGAGTTTGTTGAGAAGGGAGGTTTCCTGAGGGGAGTGGTATTGACTTAAGAGGTCCATTCGGCTCTGAAACAACTGATTTTGGATGTGAACTCCTCTTCCCCATAGTCTAAGAAGGCCACCAGCTGCTTCCCACGCCCCATGACTCCCCGGGACCGACACGAAGGGCGCAAACAGAGCACTACCGAGGCCCAGAAGAAAGCAGCTCCAGCTGTTAAACAGGTTAGTGGGGAGCGGAAGGGGAGACCCTACAGGGACCTTGCCGGCAGGGCCCAAGTGCAGCCCAGTTTGACAGCCCTTCCCTCCCTGACAGGCTGACCGTCGCCAGTCAATGGCTTTTAGCATCCTCAACACACCCAAGAAGCTTGGGAATAGCCTTTTGCGGAGGGGAGCCTCAAAGAAAGCCCCATCCAAGGCCTCCCCTAACACCCGCAGTGGGACCCGCCGCTCTCCTCGCATCGCCACCACTGCAGCCAGCACCGCCACTGCTGCTGCCATAGCCGCCGCCACTGCCACCCCTCGGGCCAAGGGCAAGGTGGAAGCACTGGCTGGGAAGGGAAGGGGGCGGATGGGCTCTTAGGAGAGTGGGTGGAAGCAGGGTACTCCCTCAGGAAGCTTCCAAGGTGGAGCCCAGTTAGACTGCTGGGAGTGGGCTAAGAGAACGTGTTCTCTTAGTGGCTGCCCCCTGAGGAGGAGACGCAGGTCCACTTAGCAGAGCCAGCAACTGATAACCTGAAGGTAGATATGTCCAGATCACGCCAAGGAAGGGCTCTTAGGGGGGGATGGGAGCTAAAAGAGGCCTCCCCAGGCCAGGTGGTACCTGCTGGCAACACAAGTCTCCCACCAAGTGACTGTGTCTCTCTCTTTCAGGCAAAGCACTGAAGGGCCAGGACCAGTGAGAGGCCCCACCTGTGTCCTCAGTGCCGACCTCGCCTGGTCCTTTTCCTTCTACTGTCCCTTTCAGTGCCTTCTCTCAGCTCCCAGGCCAACAGTGGCCAAACCCCTACAGACAGTGATGCCTGCCCACACCCCCGGCCTAGTACCTGGATCTTCACGGGAGCCTTCACTAGGTGAACGGATGTGTTCTCAGAGTTGTCCCCAGAGGCCTGGAGAGTCTGGGTCTTCTCCCTACCTTGCCTCCTGATGTTTTCTTAGAACAAAGTCACTTCATCACAACCAGACTTGAGGCTAGCTTTGAGTGGCTGGGCCCAAGAGTCCCTTCCTCCTCAGCCTCTGGATCCAGAAGGGACCATTGGAGGAGCAGGCCCTGGTCCCTGTTGCTCTTAGAGGCCCTTGCTTTTGAAGTCCAGGACTGGGCATTGACCTAGTGGGTGCACCTAGAGGTGCTCCCATCCACCCAAGGGCTCAGCTGCCCAGAAGATGCTCTTTTCCAGAACAGATGGGCCCCATGCCTGGGGGTGGCAATAGGGGGTGGGAGGGGGGCAGCCTTCAGCTCATCCCCCCTTCCCCAGACTTAACACTGGGGTAGGATTTTGGAGTGATGGGAAGGTTTTTAAGGGCCAGGGATGGATCTTTTCTAAATGTTATTACTTGTAAATAAAGTCTATTTTTCTCCCTTAAGTAAGTCTTGAGCTGTCTTGTTCTGTGTGGATAAAGGGAAGTTTAGGTTCATCAAAGTACATCTTTGTCCCTGCCAAGTTTTCCAAACTACATACCTGCTTTCTCTCAAATCCCTTCTCCTGGCCTTTCTGGCGCCACAGGATGTTCCCACACTTATCTTTTGAGGGCCTGTGTCCCTGGAATCTGATTTTATCTTCAGCTTCTGAGTGACAGTCCCTCTCTTCCCACACTCACTCCTGGGACAGGCCAAGTTCTCTAAATGGAATGATGGCTTAAGTGACAGCAGATGGCATCATGACTCCACTGAAAAAAATCATTTATGAGTACCCATCGTGGGCCCAGGTAGCTGTCGGTCAGAAACAGCAACTACCCCTGGCCTTCTCTGGGATAGTCCATTAGAGGCAGAAAGAAAGAATGTAATATCAAGTCGATGTAGAGAGAGGTCTGAGCTGCCCTTGCAGCTCAGGTGATGTTGTTTCATCCAGGTTCTGAAGTTCACCTGTCTTGAGGGGTCACCTCCAGAGGGGACCCGCTGGAGGGCAAGGCTTCTTGAGTGCAGGGCACAACTGTCCTCAGCCCAGCCTGGGGAAGCGAAGGCAGACAAAGTTCAGGTTCAAGGATGGGGAACATCTCTTGTCACCTTCCTCCAGTCCATGCCTCCCCTGCCTGCATCCTGTGTTCCACTTGGGGGCACAGAGGATGGTAGCTGGAGGCCGCTCTGGGCAGAGCCCACCCTATCCTCCCCATACTGCTCCTGTCCGTGGAAACCTCCACTCAGGTTTCTCACCCAGAGCTGGCCCAGGACAACATGACGCTGGGCAGTCTGCTCAGGATCCGCAAAAACACAAGAGAAGTTGGTGTTGCTCAGTGCGGGACTCAGCTCCTCTACCACGAGGGCTGTCTGCAGCTGGGTGCGTGCACCCTGGTGCTCCCGCCTGAAACAGAGGAGGAAAGGCCATGAGAGGACCATAGGAGGAGCCCCCTACCCCCACCCCTGCCTGCCAGCCTTGCCACTGCACCCCTCACCTGATGCTGCCCTCCCTCAGCCGACCTGGGAGGTGTTCGATGAAGGAACCGTTGCCCAGCCAGTAGAGGATGCTGAAGTGGGGGAAGCGGCTGCAGGCGGTACAGGACAAGGTCAGCATTCCATCTACAGACACATGTGGCTGTTAGCCCTTGTGTAGAGCACTCTCCCCTCCACCATGCTGCCCTACCCCTTGGCTCCCACAATTCAGGAACTTGGATTACTGCCGGACACACCACCCAGGTGGGAATGTCCGTTAATGGGGAAGTGTGGTTGTCTAACAAGGGAGGCCCAGGGCTGAATAACAGGAATCTGGGGATGGGTCCTTGATTCAGGTGATGACTCCGAGTCTGTTTCTTAAAGATGATCTTTTCCAGTGCTTGCCTTTGGGGACTCTAGGAGCCCTGGCCAAGGAGGCAGCAGCAGGAGGCCACTGCTCCTCTAAGGCGGCCAGAGGGCAAGTGGGCTCAGGTGGGCGGGAGGCTGGGCCTTGGACATATTGCGGTCAAGACTCTGGGAGTCCTCTGACCATCCTTATGTCTGAATTTTCTCCATCCCAGCCCTGCGCCCACATTCATGATGCTGGGTGGGAAGGGGGATGCCAAGTGCTCTGGCAAGCTGCCCTGGCTGGTGGGGCTACATGGCATAAAGTAGGGTCAGGGGGCAGCTCAGGAGTCAAGCCCACCCTTGGGCCCTCTGTTCCCACAGCTCATATCCTGATCACTGGGCCCTTTTGGGCTCCCATCAGAATTGCTCCTTACTCAGTGGAACTTCCAGTTCTGGCCAGGTGACCTCCATTGCTGGACACTGCTTAGTTGCTGGGAGACAGGAGGGGCAGAGGTCCTCTGTGATCCCAGCTGAGGCGGTGGCGGCACCAGCAGCAGCGGCGGTAGTGGCCTGAGGAAGAGGTGTGGCTCCAGCCAGGTGAGAGATCAATTGGGCACACAGGAGCAGGACCGGCAAAGGCCTGGGATCTGAGGGTAGGACAGTCACCGAGATCAACTGCTGTCTGCCCGGAAATGCTCAATATCCTGGCTTGGATCTTGGCTGGAGAAGGAACTGTTGCCTGGATGCAGCTCTGGCCCAGAGATTCCTGGGCTCTGCCCAGGGAATCGGAGGGGCAGAAGGACCCCTCAGGCCCCACCTCCATCCTTTTTGAATGGAGCACAGGGAGACTTGTACTACAGCCAGAGCCATAGCATCTGGATAGAGGCTGAAAGTGACAGCACAACAGTAGGGTGAAGCTCCACCATAGGGGCAGGGTAGGGGGGCAGAGGGGCCTGCACCACTCTGTTCTGTTCTCAGGCCCTACCCCCACCTGCCCACGCCGCCGCAAGATCCTACCTGGTGTCCGGTTCTGTCTCATGGTCTTGACGGATGTGTAAAGAGCTGGCGTGCCTGGCTCTATTTAACTGTGACAACTTCCTCCTCTTTGGGGCTGGTGGGGGAGGAGAATGTAAATAAACTACTTCTCTCACATATCAGTGGCTTGCCTGGATCCCAGCCATTCATATGGGCCTGTCCTTCCTGTAGACTCCGCAGCTCTCCCTCAGTCTGGACTCTGAGTGGGCTGCCAGGCACTGCTATTTATTTACTCCAGGCATCCCATCCAGCACAGGCTGGAGCTCTTTCAGCACGTAGCAACAGAGCTGAAGATCATCCAGTGACAATCTTTCCCCACCCTAGCTTTTATTACCATTGCCATTATGTGGTTATGTGTCCACTCTAACCCCTTCATTATAAGGATGGAGAAACACCCAAGAAGGGGCCAAGGACTTACCCCGTCATAAAGAGAGGCAAAGCTCTCTTCACTGGAGCTGGTTTTGGGAAGGGTAGATTAGTGAAATCCTTCTGGGAAAGCACTCTCCACTCCCATTTCACTTTCACTTTTGTTCTAACCAAGGATTCCAGAGCAGGCTCCGAGTTACTAACAGAGGGCACACATGTGACGCCAGTCTGGGTCCATCTGTACACAGCGCCTCTTCTGGAAGATGAAGTTCAGGGGGCCCAGAACCTTCCTGGTAACTCACAGGGCCCCCTACTCTCCAGGTGGTATCAGACTGGGTCTTTAGTCCCCTGTCAGCTTCACCCTCCCAGGGGCACATACAGTATGAACTTATGAAAAGAGTCTCTCGCAGATGGATTCTTCTGTCCCAGTCAAGGGTCAGGACTCTGGCATCCACCTTCGCTCTTCGGAACCAGCCCTTGCTTCTACATGAGCAGACCTCTTACTCCTCCTTTCACATTCACACTGGTATTCAAGGGGTCAACTGTCCTAGGCACTGGGGGGCCCAAACTGGATTGCTTTGACCACTCCAGGCTCAATGTCACACCAGCCTGCCATCCTGACCTTTCTCAGGCTCTCCACTCCCTTCAACCACCAACCCCACCCCTACCCACCACCCCAGAAAGCCTTCTCGCTTCTCTCATCCCAGCCCCTTGGCCAGAACTATAGGTCTAGGTTTACTGAGAAGTCTAAATTCCCCCCTACCTGGCTCCCAAGAAGCCCCGAGGAGCCCTCTTTTTCAGAACTCCCCCCTCTTGAAGCTCCACACTCAGTCCAGCTGTGTCCAGCCCCACGTGAGCCATGCCATGGGAACTATGCTGACCGTACTCTCCAGCCTTGTGTGCAGGAACCTCTCAGAGTCAAGCTGAGGACTTGGAACATAAGCTGGAGTTCTGGCCCTAAAAGGAGAGGGCACGTCCCAGGGAAGTAGGGGAGCAAGCAGCTCAGCGCTGGCTCCAGCAACAATAGAGCTATATAAATGCACCAGTCTGGTGGCTGACGGGACAAATGGAGCTGGGGCAGGGCGCCAGGACTAGGGTGAGGTGAGGTGAGGTACCTGAGATGAAAAACTGGAGGAGGCACTCACTATCAGGGTCTTGCCAGTGTCTGCGGAGGCAGAAAGACCAAGACTAGTGATCAAGCATGAAGGACAAGACCCAAGTGTCTGAGGTTTGCGGTCTCTGTGTTCTCTGTGATAGAATGCCCAGAACAGAGCCAGGGAGGCCAGGAGACAGAGCTAGGTTTAGAAGATGCGTCATGAAACTCTTCCCTGGGAGCGCCCTATCTCCAGCCATTAGGTCAGGAGGCAAGGCTGCTTGGGGTTTCTGAGATAGTCCTTTGGGAGGTGTGTGGGGTATGGGAGAAAGAGGAGACAGGACTCTTTAGAGTGGAACCAAGATAAGACTTGGGCCACTGGGAGGTCACGGGATTCAGGCTTTCTGATGTACGAAAAAAGAGCCTTGGACAGCCTGGTCTTGGCTTCTCACATGAGCCTGAAGTGTACCGGGAACAAAAGTGAAAGAATGATCCCTGAACCCTTCAAATGGGCCCACCAGCATGAGCTGTGGGGGGCTATGGGAAACTACAGCTGGGTGAGAGAAGCCAAAGTTGAGAGTGGCTCATGAGAAGAGGTACCAGTAGCAAGGCACTGACCTCAGGAGGTGAGGAAGAGAGTCACCCAGTGACGCCCCAGGGCCCTTCTGCCACAGGACAGGAGCCTGGCATCACACCATTCCCAGGGATAAGGGGTGGGGCCAACTACCCCCAGGATCCAGCTCTCAAATGGGAATAGCAAAAGGGAGCAAAGGCAAGGTACTCCCAGGGACCCCAGGGAAGAATAAAGCAAGATGGATGTTCAGCTTTCCAACCCAGCTCACAGAGGTTTATTCAGAATGGAGTGACAAGATCCTGCTTGGCTCTTGTTGCGCTTGAAGATGAAGGCCCAGCTGGGCCATCTTCCCTAGGAACCCAGTGCTGAGGGCCCACGTTTACCCTCCCACTTCCTTCAAAACTCCTAAGGCCAGAGCTGGGGCCTACTTGGAACCTCTTTTTAGAACCCACACTTGCCTGGGCCTTGCCCTCTTCTCTTCCCACTCACCACCACCCCTGTTACAAGGCCCAGGTGTTACGAGGCCCAGCCAGGACCCAAGGATGCTGACAGAGGGACACTCCCTGGGCTGGGAATCCCCTGGCCGCTTCAAGGGAACGCTGATGACAGGGAGTCTTAACTGTCATAGTCCCTCTGTTACACACAGACGTACACACTCTCTCACTCAGACTTTCAGGGAAGGAAGTGAGTGATGTGGCAGGGCAGCCTTTGGCACGTGTCACCACTTCCAGGCTGAAGGGTCTGCTCACATAAGGGGCCTTCAATCACTGCTGCCAACAGCAGTCCCCGTGGCCCCACTACATATGGATAGGCTCTGTTCTTGGCTGAGTACAGCCCAGCTTAGGGGCAGGTTACCCAAGCTGCTGCTGTTTCTGGTTGTCCCCAAACACATCCTCAATGGAGGCCCCAGGGCTTCCCTCACTAGAGAAGTCGCAAGGTTCCACTTGCCTCAACCAGTCTATGGGTCCTGGACAAGGGAAGACAGAGTCAGACACAATACCAATCCCAGGCCCAGACAGGGAAGAGGGAAGACACCTCACCCTTCAGTGCACATCTGTGGCATTAGGCAAAGCCCATGAGCTCTCCCACAATGAGCGAACTAGGCTGGAGCCCCACAGAAGGAAGGAAAGATGGCGGTGGGGTCAGCTGAGGCTTCAGCCAGAGAAGGCTCCTTTAAACCAAAAATGTGTGGCTCTGCTCCCACCCTGCTCAAGCAAGGAGGGTAAGGCCTGGAGGAGTTGGGGCAATTCCTATGCTCCACAATAAAAAAGGTTTTTAAATATATTCATCAAAATAGTTTTCTTTTAAAAAGCCCCCACTGCTGACAGCCCCACTGGCTGGTTCTCCATCATCTCCCTCCCCAGCCCGGACACAGCCGGAGGGGTCCTGAGTGGCCCAAGTGCCCCTTTGAGTCTTTCCCACCCAGGAGGTCTTGGAGGGCAGGGAGGAGAGTGCCCTGAGGTCCATAGTGGGTGGATGCTCTTCTTCCTGACTACTCCAGGCCCAGGATGTAGTTGATGCCTTGCACCAGGCCAATGATGACAGGCTGCCAGGCTACCAAGTACCGAAGCCAATCCAGCAGTTGCCCGTACATGACGTGAGGCCTCTCCCAGCTGTCAGTGCGTTAAAGAGGCTATGTGTAAGAGCTGCTAAGGCTGGACTAGGGGATGGGTGAGAGGGTCTGCCCACACTTCCAGCTGCTCCACAGAAATGAGCCTACAATGAGAGGAAGCCCCAGCCAGCTTCTCCATGTTAGAAGGGTTGAACCCAGAGAATAGGAGAAGGAGAGGGAACCAGTGCAGAAGATGGGACAGACGTGGGAGAAGAGTAGAGAGGCGAAACTAAGCGAAGACCAACATGCAGAGAGGGGCTTTCCATGTAACACCTTCTTAAAGATGGGCCCATTGGTGTAAAAGTACACAGTTTGAGACTGTTGTAAGTGCATCTGTGCCAATGGCTGCAGGGAGGTGGGCAGTGGGATAAGGTAACCCTAAAGGTTCCTGTAATATCCACAGTGGAAGGTTTTCTAGGGCAAGGAAGGGGCTGAGTCTGGGACAGAGTTGGAAGAGAGGGTTATCCCAAGTTAGTCATGGGATAACCCTGGGCAGAGGCTCTAAGGAATCCCCACCCACCCTGAACACCATGAGGCCAAGCGGCCCCAGAGAGGAGTTCCACTCCTTTCACTTTATAACTAAATGATGGGCAAGACATCTAGAGAGGAAGTATGGGAATTCATCTCTGGGGGAAGCAGAGAATGAACATCATGACACTGTGGGGGAACCCACTACAAGAGCATTAGAAAGAGCAGCCAGGCCCAATCCTTGGGAACTAAGGGAAGTCCCAAGTGTCAGTTTCACTTAACTGTTCCTGAACTAGACCCTGGAATAACCAAACAAGAAACCTTACGAGGACAGGCCAGAGCCTCCTGTTCAGGGGCTATGGGAATGTGCTGTGTGGTAATGCAGTGGTCCCTGCCCAGCCCAGCCCGTGACCAGGGGACAGGGAACCCTGGCAGGGAGAGAGGGAGAGAAAGAAAGGGAAGAGAGTGAGAGTGAGTGAGCTGGAGAGAGAGAGAGAGAGAGAGAGAGAGAGAGAGAGAGAGAGCGAGCGAGAGAGCATGAGCGAGAGAGCACGCAGCCAGGGGAAGAGAGGAGAGAAAGCTGGGTCCCTGGATCCCAGGAGAAGTGAGGGGCAGGGGGTGGCAGAGTAGTAGCTGTCAATTTCCAACAGACAGGCGATGAGGAGGAAGAGGAAGGTGAGGGCAAAGTGGGGAGGTCCGATAGGGTACAGAATGTAGCTCAGAGAAGCAGTGGTCCCATGCTCAAAGTGGATGGGAACAAGGAGCCCCTCAGCCATCCCTGTATTCTGCAGGCCCTACAGAGGCACAGAGCCAGTCTCTAGCCCCACAAGTCACAGGTAAGGCATCACTCATTAGCTGTATAACTTTGAGTAGGTTATTCAACCTCTAAACCATTTCATTTGTAAAATGAGGAAGGTCATCAAGTTGCCAGAGAATCAAATGAGATAAATGAGCAAAGCATTTTGCTGAAGTGCCAGCCACACAGTAAGCAAACAGTAAGTGGGCTGCTACTGCCATCAATTTACTGTTGGGGGGTCTAGAACTATGATGAAAATCTGAGCTGCTAGTCCTGTCCCATGTTCCACCCCCTACTTCCCTAGACCATGAGCCAAGTGGAATGGTGGGTATGTACCAGGTTGGGGGCAGGAGGAAAGGCCACGGGAGGACACAAATGGAGAGTGCTGGCCAGCACTTTCTTCCCACTGCGCATGCCCGAGAAGAACCCAAACAAAGGATACGGGTTGCTGAACATCCTCTTGAGATCCACCTTCTCTTTGCAGTAGGGACATGTCTGCTTCTTTCCCACAATGCACCAGCCGCGGATGCAGAACTCGTGGAATCTGAGTACCACTGGTTAAGGGAAATGGTGGGCAGCCGGGATGGCAATGGAGCCCCGTGCCCATGCATTAGCTCTGGAGAAAGGTTCAAATCTTGGCTTCACCTCTTAGCTGTATAATCTTGGACGCATCCTTTCTCTTTGATCCTGTTTCCTCTTATGTGAAGAGAGGATAATGATCTGTATGTTACAGGGTTGTAATGGGGCAAAATGGAAAGAATACGTGGTACAGAATGGGCATTTAGTAAGCACATTATAAATACGGGGAGACTAGTGCAGCTTCAGGCTCCTTTCTGATCCAGCCAGGCTACACACACTGTTTACACAGGTGGCCCACAGCAGTGGGAAAGAGTGAGGGAGGCTGTGATTTCCACTCCTGGGTGTCAGCTTCTCTAGCAGAGACCACCACCCAAATGTCTGCCCTCTTGTGACTCACACTTTAATGTCTGGACAGTATGCCAGGGTCATACTCCCTGACTGGAATGCCATGTGGCAAGAGAGATGTGGCCCCGGGGCTCCAGACAGGATACACATGATTGCAAGACAGCCTATACGTGTTCTCGATGATGCCCT